TTCCTATTCTGTAATTACCTCTGTCCACCCCATACAGCATAAGGTGGCCTTGGTTCCTTAGAGGGGTTGGCGGACCTACTAAGCTGGTATCCGGGGCCCCAAGCCGCCTGGGAGCTTGCAGTGTTTGGCCGGGCACTGCCCTTCCTTCTCTTAGCGAGCCATGGTCTCCTCTTCCCACCCATCCCCCTCCCACCTTACCCCTTATGTCACTACATTGTTCATTTTATAATTATTTAACATTGTTTATCTTATAATTATTTTATTATACAATCTATAACTTTCATCTGTTCTGTTCCTTTCTATTGTAACTGTCGTCAACTTGTACCATCTCCCCTTGTCACCGCTGTACAATAGTTAAATAAAATGAATCTCCAGTCGCGCAAATAAAATTTCTTTAGAGGGAAAGAAAAATTTAAAAGTGTTGCAATGCTTTCTTTGCAACCTAATACATACCAATTACCGAGCCTGGAAAACGGGAAGTTTGGTTGGCCAAAGCGAGATGCAATCCGGAATTCGATCCGCTGTTCGTGCGCGTGAGAACTGGCGTCACTTGTCACTGCATCACACCACATGCACCTGTGAGTGATGATAAGGTGTGGTGACCATACCACTAAGAGACGATCCGAAGTAGAGCCCAGGCCCTGTGGTATAGTGGCTGGCACACCCGCTGAGCAGTAGCGATTCCAGTTTTAATTCTATGCTGAGCGAAGAGAATTTTGCCATAGTTCAGTACTCCTATCATATATTTTTCCAGAATTTTCGTTAGCCAATATAAACACTGCCAAGTGGAAGATCGATAAAACATATGTGGCTGCCAACTCCTATCTTCAATCTATGATCAGTGAGTTATTATTCTTGTGCGTCGTAGTTGCAGACCTTAACAGGCGTGGCACATACTATCAAGCAGGTTGAAAATCGGGCGAGGACTTGGTCGCAGCAGTACGACCCCCCCTAAAATCGGGGTCCTAATACGACCCCGCTAAATGTGTGGTGGCAGCGCGGTTTATTTCCGGGTCAGATTATCTGTAGCCCCGCCCCAAACCTTGAAAATCCACACTCTTTTTGAAAAGCTACCATTTTTCTTCATGACCTTTTAAACAGGTTGGGTAACTAGATTAAAGCCAGGTCCCGGCAGGTTCGTGCGGGGCAGTTGCTCTGAAATCAACCTAGGGCAGAAAAAGTTCCTCTCGAACTGCGTCGAGTCATTGTCTGGGTAGTTGAAATTTTCATGCAAATTTTCATTATTCAAAACGGCAATATGTGTCTTATTTTGTAAGGAATTGCCATTCAAGCAGTTTGTTTAGCCTCTCTTCAAACTTCCTGGTTTGAGGAGATATTCGCATTGAGAGTCAATCGAGGAAGATTTTCGACCACACAAAAGTCGCTTCCTTTTTTTACCTGTACACTGATTCGTTAGCACCTCCGAACTGTCTCTAGAATACATCTTTCCAATGTAGTGTTAAGAAAAAAGTCATAGTCTGACTTCGTCTCGGTATAGGCCACGCATTCGATGTCCATTAATGATAGGAGAGTTTGAATCGTGTGTTTTGCGAACTGTATGTAGTGAACACATTTGCGCCCCATCCCTATACCCGTAGAAGCAGATTTATTTGCACAGAGTATTTCCGCATCTTCCATCATTTAGTGTGCTGCTTTCAAATACGTCCTTCCCATAAAGCTAGAGGAATGGAGCGGCTCTGGACCCACGATAACATTGTCATTTTCCTCACACTATCCTCCGTTTTCCCGTGCGTTACCTCTCTCATCATACACCGTAAAAGTCACTGATTTGCTCGTTGCTGGTCCCCACGGTTACGACCCCCATTACTACCGTAACGCATGCCCCACCCCTACCGAGGATTTCCTCGACCTGTGTTCACCTGCCATTGAAAAGCTGAGCAATTATTCATTTTTTGAGGCCTTCGCCACGCGTACCGCTGAGCCTGCGATCATGACATACTCGGCCGCGTGTATGTGTGGAGCTGACAAATTTTGGTGGTCGTCAGCTACCACTTGAGTCACGCCATAAATGCGACCTCTTACTTCGGACTTTCCTTTCCCTGATGGCGGGGCAAATGCTCTAAGCGTCTTGAAGAAGCCTGTTGATAGCGTCGTTCTTAAATGTAATGGTTTCCGGCTCTATCCACCTCAATAGCCTGGAAGGCCTAGGTTGTTGGAGCAAGCCTTCATTCAATTTCTTCCAAAAAAATCAAAAATTTTGCTCAAAGTAGAGATGTGCTTGGTTGAAGATGTACATATTGACGGGGTGTTCAATGTTCAGGCTCAATATTCACGAACAGTGCTGTGCTGACACGAAGGACTCAGGGTAATACACTTTCTATAGGGCTTGGTGGAGGCGCTATAAATGGCTTGCTTCATCATTTTTTCCCAAAGGTACGATTTGTACTTTATTGTTGTACAATTTGTGAAGTACCAATGGCAGTTAATGTGTGGATGGTGCAATAAAATAATTTAAAGGAGGATTTTACGATTAGAATGGAGGTCGAGGAAGAAGTAATTCACCTAGTTGAGTAACCCACGGACCTCCTGAGGGTGCGAACTGATGCGCAATTCGCATCGAAAAATTTGACCTCGGCGACCTATTATGCCTCAAAGTTGGCGGGTCTGGCGATCTCCGCCCACCGACCAGCTGATCACTCGCCGCAGATCTATACGTGGGATTGATTAGATAGCAGAGAGAGCGTGATGTTGAGGAGGGCACAGCGATAAGAGTCGCATCAATGCGCAAATCAGCGGGGAAGGAAGGGTCCCATTTCTCGGGTTCTGGGCCGTTTCTCATGGTTCTTCCTTCTTTCGTGTACCAATCACCATCCCTGAGTTAATTTGAAATGGGTTGCCTTCCCAGCGTGAATTCGTCCTTTAATGAGGTCGGGATGATTAAAAAGTAAAAGATAACTATTACGGTTTGATTCCAAGCAATAAGGAAGTCAGACTTTTTCAAGTGTGCGCTTTTTTAGATGGATATAACAGTTATTGAATATGACGAACAAATGCTTTCTATGGCTAAGAAGTGGTTTGAACTGGAGTTAGATGAACATCATCGGGTGAAATTGGCCGATGGAATCAAGTTTATCACGGAAGAAGCAGAACAAGGTCAGAAGTTGTGCAGTTCAAGTAAGTCCTAGACTGGGTCTTTAGGACACTACCCTCGACATTTCGAGAAGCGACCAAATCAGTTTGTCGCATAATTTTCTAATATTGGGCAATTTTGATTCTTGAAATCGTATGAAAAACATAGCTGAATGGGAGTGGTGCCGCTCACCCCCATGCTGTGGATGGGCAAATCTTGAATCTAATCCTTTCCAGAGGGACCATTCTTTTGTCTGGGAATGGAGCCTTTTGATAACTCTACTATTCGCTTACCTAGGGTCTGCAGGCAAGCGGCGCCATAATCTTGCACGTCACCAGGAGTAGAAGGGTTAGCTTGCCATGAACGACATGCGTAGATTGGATTTTGTCTAGGTCAATGCAGCCTTCTGACGAATTCCAGTTTGAGAGATAAGAGCACCTTACCCCTACATCAATCTGTCCCATGCTATGAGCTTAACACTGCATTTAAGCGCCTTCATTTCATTGATTATAATAAAAGTGAAGGGGGATGGGTAGCAGGAGAAATTAACACCGAGAGTTTCATCTTCACTTTTTTCAGGCTCAAAGTATGACATAATCTTTCTCGACGCATGCGATGCCGGGTTGGTCTATACGGACACTCTCTGTCCCGTAGCCGGTTTTCTCAGTGATGTTGTACTACGGGAAACTGCTCAGCTCATTGGACCTCGTGGTTTGTTCCTTTAACCGTCACTCACTGTTCTGTTTTGGGCACTAATGCAAGGAACACATAATATTGCTCTAGTGCTGTGGGGTGTGCAAAACATTTATTTATTTATTTATTGTACGCTTAGGTGCGCTACATTAATTCACATCTTAATTAAATTAATCGAACATGAAGAAGATGTTAAGCAAGCAATACAACGAGTTTGCTACGCGCTTTGCCTTCATTTATACTCTATTATTTAGTGCGACTGACTGCGGATTGACCTAGAATAATTCAATTTGCCACGGCTTTCGACCGATGTATAAGATCAGTGTCTATTGTCGTATCAGTACATAAGCTCTGTGCCAGTTAAATATCCCTTCTATTTTATAAAGCGCTAACTTTGTGTGTCGGTTTGTATGTCTGTATGTGTGTATGTATGTATGTATGTGTGTCCGTCCGCAAAATGAAGTGAGTGAGAAGGAAGCTCATGGGATAAACAAACCGCTAACAGAATCATGTAGCTCACAGGACTTTAGCTATAGTGTTTTGCAATGGCATGATTGTGATAAGCATCCCCAACGGCTATATAAACACGCACTTAGCACACTTTCGGTCATTCGACAAGGTGATGCTGTGGTAGCCGGCGAGCAGAGGGGAACGAGGGGAGAGTAAGGAGAGGAGGGAGAAGGGAAAGCTTACGCAAGGTAGGGAGGTTCCGGCGCTTGCCGGGGGACCAATCTTGGTCTCTATAAAATGAATGTTTTGTTTGTTTGAGCTGGACTCGACCAGTGAATTCGCCTCAACTGTGTGGTAAGCAAGCGGTATTCATGCTTCAAACGTACCCCACAAAGATTGGCCTCCGCCCGCATGACACCATTCAAATCTTTCGTCTCACAATTTTCGAAAAGTAATTGTTAGCGATCCATTCAAACCGTGTTTTTTCTTAGGCTTTACCGCTGATTACAATTAATAATCCGCTAAAGAAGCGCAGGTTTTGGCTGGGCAATCTTTGTGCAGCCCAAAGGTCAAATGGGCGCCAGCAGACTTGCATAAAATTTGGTTCGTGAGCCGCCGTAGCGGCCTGCTAGTGAGTCCAATCTATACGATTAGTTAAAGTGCCGAACGCGCAGTCCTTAAAATGCTACCTTGGATAGCATTTGGCGCAAGATTTTACTCCCACACAGTAAAAATTAACCGAGATGAAGAAATTGCGGTTAGTTAGGTTAAGTTCATAGCTAATCTAGGAGACTGTATTCAATTCGAATGACAATTAACTCTGAGTATTAATTCTCGAAAATGTAGCGGAAGTCGGGCAGTGGCCATGTGCACGCTCACCACGGCGACGTGTCCGGAATCCGAATCCTGGGTCGTGAGCGGTCCGGGATCAAATCCTGGGTCGTGAGTCGCCCGGGCCAACCAAGCCTTCCATCCCTCCGGGGTCGGTTAATTGGTACCCTTGTCTGGGAGGATAAAAACACTGACTTGTACATCGGCTGGCCCCCGCAAGTCATTGTATAGGCCACATCGCATTCAAACGCCACTACGAATGTACAAATGGAAGTAGAATGCGTGCCGCATCCCAAAAAGGGATTGATCAACGGCAAATGCTTTATCCTTTTCCTTTATTTCGAATGAAGCATCATCATCCTTGGAAATATCAAACATGGTTCCCATGTCGACGTACATATGAGCTCCCTTCACGGCCCGCGACTCAAGCACCGATATTTTTCGCTCTGCTCTTCCTTTGCCTTTCCAAGAAAGCTTCTCGTTTGTGGTGTTTGTAAGCGTGTATCAAAAGTTATCTATGCAAGCTTCGTGGTCGGGTGTTCATAAATCTATCATAGTCCTTAAGGAATCGTAGTGGATACTCTTTCTGACAATATTCACAGGAGCTTCCGTAACCGATCGACTTCTATGAGAAAGGACCTTATATGCACTGCATTCAAGAGTCGTATGACAACTTGGCGATACATTCTTCGAACACGCAGATCTCGGAAAGAATCCACCCCAGCGCGTGAGACTAGAAATCCCACTAGTTTCGGATTGAGTGGAGCCATTCACCAAATAAAGATTATGAAATCATGAAATCGTAGTATTATATACCAAATACTATGTCAAATCTGACGGTCTACATCTTGGCATCTCAGCTCTGCTCATTTTTGGTAAATGTATTTGCTGTACTTCAATCTTGTCACCATGTTTATGCCCCACCTTGCAGTGAATAATAACTTTGGATAGCAACACACAAGGTTTTTAATTATGGTAACCCTGACGAGATGAATTTCACTGTTTTCTACTCCCTTTCTCACTAGCGATCTTTTTCACACTTCTCATCTAATTTTTGAACAAAATGACATACTACTAATTCAATCACGACCTGTGCCGTAAAACATGTGTAAGAGCGCAACTGCGTGTCCGTCGTGTAGGTAAATAAACAAATAAATAAGGCAAATAAACGAATAATTAAGTATTTCTTGCAATTAGAAATTTATTTTTAGGGATCCTGATTGTGAATGCGTTATCA